ACGAAAACTGGGGAATTGAAATTCTACGGTTATGTCCTTCGCCCAAGCACGACCTCACAAATTCAAATCTGGCTTTTACTTATGCCTGGGTCTCAAAGTCCCCGTGAAAGTTTTGGCGGCGAAATTATTATCCCGTGAGTCAGAAGGCTAGGGAGCTGAAAATTTCAGGAGGATGTTTTCTGCGTATGCAGAAGCCTTACAAACTCAAATTTAGTCCCCAAGGATGCCGAGAACTCACGTACGACCACATGAAAGTTTTGGCACGAAAAGCACTGGAAAGTCAAGAAATTGGGAGTTGAAAATTTTGGGAGGGTGTTCGCCGTTCAAGGTTTCAAATTCAGCTTTCACATACTAGTATGTAAAATTTTTAGTGGGAGACTTCACAGCTTAGCAGCCAGACAACATTTCAACTATTTTTGCACAGAGCAAAGTGCAAATGATATGAAAACCCTTTGCAGGTAAACTTTCGCTGCGCGTAACTGCGCAAAACGCATGATCGCACTGGCTACCCTGGTGCTCGCCACTATTTGTTACTGATTGTTTGCATGTTGTACTTTGATAATTTGCTTTATTATTCTTATATCTTTATCACAGTTCCACGCCATTGATGCATTTTGCAGTTTTTCTTTGCTCATTGTGAGGGAAACTGCATTATCTTTTGGCAAGCTCGCTGGTAAATTCCAGCGCTCCTTTTGTTTGTTTTGTTGCACTTCTTCGGTGAAAGTTGCTTTAGTGTTCTCCTACAGCTTGCTAGTGAGCTGTCCTTCCTATTTACAGCGTGTAAGAAACGCAAAAAATTAGCCTCCTGTTAATATTTCAAAAGCAAGCGACACTTGAGCGTCTTTTGACAGAATGCGAGTATAATTGTTCTAAATAAGCGCTTAATCAGTTCGAAGAGCAGAATAGTGTTGCATTATTGCTGACTCAGCATTGTTATTTATAATGTGTTTTATAATTTGTGAATTGTGTATACGTTGTGTTTGTCATGTGCTTTTTTCACTAACTTCTAGTAGAAAATTTGTTTAAACAATCTATGCCGCTCATTACAGCACTGCACAGCCTAGGCTCTTAAGAATACTCTAACAGTTTTTCCCTGCTGTCTAGCGTATTTTGATGCGTTTTGTGCTGTGTAACAGCAGTACAAAGCGCATATTGTTACAGGGTTGTGTGTGTATGTGTGTGTGTGTGTGTGTGCCCGCAGCAACTTGCTCGCAACTTTCAACTCAGAAACCACAGAAGCTCGGAAGCTGATTAGGGGAGCGTTCCCCACCTACGTCCGACCTCGCAAATTTAAATTCAGCATCCCCGTGCCACTTACGGCCCCGTAAAAGTTTGGCGGGTGAAATTATTATCACGGGAACTACGAAAGTTAGATGGCTGGAATTTTGTGAGCATGTTCCCCGCCCATGTGCTACCCAGAAAATTTAAATTCAGATTTCCCCTGCCCATGGGTAACATGTACGGCCCCGTAAAATTTTTGGCGGCTAAATTATTATCTCAGGAACCACGGAGTCTAGAAAGCTGAGATTTTAGGGTTGTGGTCCCCTGCCCACACGCGACCTTGAAAATTCAAATTCAGCGTTCCCGTGCTCTCGGGTATCACCTACAGTCCCGTGAAAATTTTTGCGGATAAATTATTATCTCGCGAACCACAGGAACTAGGAAGCTGAAATTTTAT